TCTTTGTGGTTTACTTTTTGGGCATGAAAAGCTGGTTCATCTAAGCTTCCGGTTCTCTCCTTTGATTTTATATTGGAGTGGGCGGATTGCTTTTGTCTTCAGGAGTTCCCATAGAGGCCCAATTCAGATGAGGGTCAGATGTTTTCAGGCTTTCTCCTAAGGTCTGGATCCCTCCAGGAACGATTTTGGCCTTAGGAATTTAGTGGTTGGACTGGCTGGGAGCCTGGCCCAGGAAAGATGCTGGCCTAGGGCAGCTGGTGTCCATGCCACCCAGAGATGCAAAAGCAGATGGGGCGGGAAGAGACCCCAAGGACTCCTGGGGCCAGCACTGAGGAGCTGGGTTGGTCTGGATGCAAAGGATCAGGAAGAGGAAAGGTCAGCCCCCATGTCCCAGAAAGAGGCTGGCGGATCGTGAGATCCCAGGGAAGCAGAGGGAGGTGAGGGTGGGTTCAGGAGCAGTGCTCCTGTGGCCCAGAGAAGGCACTATGTTGGTCTGGATGAAAAGGATCAGGAAGCAGTATTGGTTCCCCAGGTGTCTGGGGCCCCAAGACAACGAATGGGGCAGGGTCCAAACGAGGAGGAGAGAACAGTCGGTGAGATAGGAGAGTGAATGAGGCTGGGGGAGTCAAGGCGCTGAGGGTGAGATGGACTTAACACTGAGAGAGGCCTGTGGGTAGGAGAGAGGCCTGCGCCTATTTTTTAATATTAAAGCAAACTTAGTCTCATTCAGTAGGCAAATCCCTATAGAAATTAGAATTGGGGCAGTTTTACTTTATCATATACTACAAATGAAAAACAGTGTCATCTGATTCTAACTACTCCAACAGCTATCAAAATACCTGAAAGCAAATCCTGAATCCATCACTCTAGAGTCCAGCCTTGGAAGACAAAAGAAAAATGAGGAAGAACCCAATACAGGGATGCTTTTGGAAGCCCTTGTCAAGAAATTCCAATGGACTCTCATATGAACAGTTGAAAATTGCCCTGTTCTTACTTTTTTCAAGTTCCCTGTATAGAACTTGTAGTGTTAATTGCTCTTGCCTTTACTTCTTCACATCTCCTATTCATGATTCAAGGACTTTCTTTTCCCCTTAGAGATAAGAGTTATGAAATTTGGGAGTTTTTTAGATAGACCCACTGAAGGGGTACTCCAGTTGCCTCATTCAGCATCCCTGTTCAGCATGGAAGAAGCCAGAGAAGTCTATTCCCTATTGGCAATTTGGGTAACCTCTTCAGAGGATGGTGTGATAAGAATAGGAGATAGGAATTGGCTAGCCGGTTAGGTAAAAAGACCCGAAAGAAATGTAGCCAGTTTCTTGGCTAAAACTCACAATGTCCTTGGGTTTCTTAGCATCATACTCCATTCCAAAGGCCAAAAATATTGAAAGTATTTGGAAGCTTGTATTTAATCCTTAAAAGATTTTAGGGTTACCTCTTCAGAGGGGGAACTGTTAGAGTACCCCAAAGCCCCATAAAAATAAATGAAAGAAGAAGAAATAAAAGAAAAACAGTCATACTGAACTCTGTCATATATTCAAGGATTTATTTGTAAGCAAGCACCCCTAAATAGCCTATTGCTATAATTTAAGGAAGTCTTCATCAAACATTTTATTCCAACACAGATGTAATCCACTATAATCTGATCATCCAGTGTTCTAGATGGAAAAGGTGGCAAGGTCTAATGTTAAATATGGGTAGAATAAGTAAGATATGTGAGTCGGCTTTCCATTAATGTAACAAATGCCTTAGATAAAACAACTTATAAGAAGAAAAGTTACATTGACTTACAGTTTGGGATATTGAAGATCTGCACAAAAACTTCTTTTGGTATGGATCAAGGCATAATATGGCAGGCAGTGCATTGTGGAGCAAGATGCTCATGTCATGGTTGCTAATGACCTAAAACTTTCCACTTAGCCCCACTTCTAAAAGATTTTCACCTTTTTCCAGTGACATCAAATTTAGGATCAAACAGTCAACCTTTAGGAAATATTCTTGATCCAAACCATAGCAGGGTAGTTGAGGACAAGGGATGTTCACAGAGGGCAAATGTAAGAGCAAACAATTCTAAGGCCAAGTGCTACACTGAGAAGGTGAATCTGCCATATTCTTTTATTTTATGTGTTTGAGTATATTACCTGCATGTATGTAAATGTACCCGCGGTATGCAACGCCCTTGGAAGTCAGAAGAGGGCATGAAAATCCCTTGGAACTGGAGTTACAGATGGTTGTTAGCTGCCGTGTGGGTGCTGAGAACCAAACCTGGGTCCTCTCCAAGAGCAGCCTGTGCTCTTAACCACTGAGCAATCTTTCCAGCCTGCTCCCATATTCTTAGTCAAAGTTCATGTAAGAGTGACTCCTATCCCATTGTTCTTGCTAATCTATGAATTACAACATTAATTTCATGAATGAAAAACTTAATAGATTTTTTGTTGCTGAACTGTAAAACTCTTGGATTTGATTTTATTTTGTAATTACTGATAACAAATTTTGTAGTTGTATGGACTTCTGACAAGTGTCTTCGAATGGATTCATTCCTCCCCAAAAGTAATAAACATAAATATCTTTAAAGTTCATTTATGTGAATGGGCTTTAAGGGAATAAAATTTTTTTAATTTTGTGGAAAGGATCATGGTTTTGAAAATTCCATGGCTTTGGCTGCCCCTGAAAGCACCACAGAGGAGCTCAAAAGCAATCACCGCAGAAACACATCAGGAACACCGTCCATAGCAGTGTCTGGGGCCTCCCTGTCCTCAGGTGTGTATTTACAATGTGAGTATTCTATTGAAAGAAAAATATGTCTAAATCAAATGGAATTGCCTATTTTATGTGATACTGAGTAGATATTTTATATTTTGAAAAACAATCATCCATTTTGTGACATGTAGTAGTAGGCCCCAGGGCACGGAGAACTTCCTAAAGCTGGTCCCAGGTGATACCTTGGGTTTCTTGCATTCATAAATCTGTTTGCATACCTTTTCCGGGAGTCACTGTTAAGTTTCAGAACTATAACAGAATATCAAAATAAAAATACAGAAAAAAATAAATGCCTCCAGGATCCATTTGATATGAAAAATAGTAACACTTGCCCAGGGATCAAGGAAATGGGTGTTCAGTTAAAAGGAAGGCCAGCAATTCCATACACACAAAAAAAATTAGTAATTTCATGGTGTAAATTGGAATTATTTACAAACAACTTAAAGATATTAATAGTAATTTTCCACTTATATGAAGCATTTGTATGTATATGTATCATTTTATTTCCTTATCACAATAATCCTGGGAATCAAGTATTCACTATATTGTGGCTTGTTATCTATAAATAAGAAACTTTTTAGAGAAATACATCATTACTGTAATATTTATACCCCACATATTGAACTACATTCATGATTAAATCTTCAACATTACACCATTACCTGTTGCCTATTGATAATATCTGCTTTCAACCTAAGGCTAGAGATTCTGACTTGTACCTCAAAAGAGTTAGGAAGTGTCTCTTAGCAGCCAGATCCTAGGAGGTTTGTGTGTACATCTTTGTGTGTTTGTTATTATGTTCATGTACATGTGTAGCATGAGGGACCAGAGTTTTCTAGATGCAGTGCTTAAAAACAGTAAAGTTGTTCATATGTTCAATGAAAAAGTTCAGTCTAATTTACTAGTACTACATCTCACCCACAGCTCCTGTTTGTTTAGTACAATTCTCTGTTAGTCACTATGCTAAGCATTTCTTCATTATTTAGTTTGGCATTTCAAACTTCATTACTTGATTGTACCCTCCAGTATCTCTCATCGATAAGCAACTCTGTCTTAGTGAGTCTTCAGTATAGTAGTGTTCCATGGAACTGAACAACTTATGCTGGTTAAGTTGTCTACGGCATTGTTGAGCAGTACATTTTTCCCTACCTAATATTTTTCAAACTGAAAGTAAGATGTTCTGGTGATGAAAGAATTTTTAAGTACTTTTTCTATAGTTACAACCTATGCATGGACGGAACTTAGTATATCATTAAAAGTGGAAATTTATGATTAGTTGAGCTACATTTTGTGTCAAATAGGAAAGCAATGACTACTCCTCAAAAATGAGTTCTTGGGTCCCCATTATCCCACCTTGGGCCTAGGCCACTTCACACTGCCTGAGAGCTCTGGATTAGCAGGGTAAGTTAGTCTGATCCTGTGAACTCAGTCACCATCATGCTGCCTTGGGGACAGCCCCATTCCACCTGCCTTAGAACTTACATCTATCCTGCTTAGCTAGTCAGAACCCACCCATTTGGTTGTCATCTTTCCACTTTGGGAACAGGCCCATTGATGCTGTTACAGAGCTCCTGACTAGCCTGCCTGGAACCATCCCATCCTTTCAAAAAAATAAAAAATGAGAACCTCAAGAAGAGATCAACTATCTATTCATAAATGATCAGAAAGGAATGAAGTTACATCAACAATAAAAACAGAACCAAACTTCAAGTCAACAAAGACAGTCTACAATTTCACATCAGATACACAACCAACAAAAGGAGTACATTTTCCCAGGTCACAATGCAAAAAACACACATAATACGAAAATCCAAGAAAATATGTTCCCAAGAAATTCTACCCGTACTATAGAAGTGTACTACAATAAGAACTACTCAGAGAAACCCCAAGACACAAGACTTAAAAGAATAATCATAAATATAACCAAAGAAGTCAAAGATTTAAAAAAAAACGTTTTATTATTTTTATTTTATGAGTATGAGTGTATTGCCTGTATGTGTGTAAAGGCATGTGTGTCATGCAGTGCCCATGGGGATCAGAAGAAGACATTGGGTTCCCTGGAACTGGAGTTATAGATCACTATTAGCCATCATATGGGTGTTGGGAATCACACCAGGTCCTTGGGAAGAGCAGTCAGTGCTCTTAACCACTGAGGCATCTCTCCAGCCCCAAAGCAAAGATTTTAAAGAGCACACAAACAACTCAAAGAACTCAAAGAGAATAGGAATAAATTTTTTATTGAAGCTCAAGAAAATGCAGACTTCCAACTGAATAAAATAACAAAGATAATTCCATATTTGAAAAGTGAATTCATCAAAGAGAACTCCAGCTGAAATGAAGATGGAATTGCAAAACTCAGTAAGCCAATTTGAAATGACAGGTAAAAGCCTCACAAGCAGAATGAATCAAATGGTAAACAGGCACCCTATGTTTGCTGTCATTGCTTCTCCTATCGCCCAACCAAGTCTCAAAGCCACCCTCAGTAACCTCTCATTCACTGTCACATTCATGTTCATCTGGGCACCAAATGTCAGCTCTTCCTCATATATGTATCCCCAATCCATCCACATTGTCAATGCCATAGTTCAGAGTCTCATTTCACTACCCTCTCTTTGTTCTGTACGTTTTGTGGTTTTTTTTCTATGATATGCTACGGAGAGTTTCCATTCTGGTCCTGTATATCAGGTGTTTGGGGTGCTTCTTATATGGTTTTCCTTAATTTAGGAAAGTTTTCTCTATAATCCTGTTGAAGATCTGGCGAATGCTGTTGCCCTGGGATTCTCCTTCTTCTATGCCCATAATGCATAGATTTGTTCTTTTCATGGTGTCCCACATTTTCTGCATTCCTGTGTTTTTTTTTAATTTTTCATATTCTTTGCGTGAGTGGTCCAGTTCTCCACCTTTATCTTCAAGTGAAAGCTGCAAAAGAAAACCAAGTTGCACATAAAGGAAAATCCCTCGGAAATGCAGCTGACTTTTCAATGCAAAGTATAAAAGCCAGAAGAGCCTGAAACAAAGTATTATAAATAAGTTCTTTTATGAAGCATAAGAACCCAGTCTATGAACATCTTTTAATGTCTAGGAAGGAATGAATCAGAATCTTTCAACAGCATAATGCTGCCATAGGATTTTATAGTAGCGCATTTACCCTCCTGTTTAATAAAGGACAAATAAACACAAACATGTTAGTTTTCAGTCCAAGGCAATTTCTAAAATACTGTTTTAAATATAAGTATGTTAACACAAAACAGCATGAAGTTTGTGAGTTTGAATCCTGTTTTCATAACAGCATAACGTCTAGGCTATATGCTTAATTGTGTGTGTGTGTGTGTGTGTGTGTGTGTGTGTACTGAAATATTTGCAATGAAAAAGATAACTATGACGAACTAAGCTGATTCTCACCTGTCTTTTAATTTTCCTCCCTGCAGACCCAAGTCCATCTGAGTTAGATTTGAGTGAGTCGTTTACAGAAGACTTGGAGGATACTTTAAGCATAAGAACTAGGTCTGTTCCTGGAGCGTCAGACAGAGATTTGGTGAGTTGGATGTGGACGAAAGTTCAAAAATACATGGAAAGGAGGGCATGCTCTTACTTCAGGCAGTTTCACCTTTTGGGTGAAGTTGGGAGTGAAATGAGGCTACAAAGTGTCTTTTCCTCGTAGTTTTCATAGTCAAAATATAAAAGCAAATAAAACAATGATTTAAGAAACAGAACAGGAAATTGTGTTTAAGACAGAAAATATCTGTCAGAGCTGAGAACAGTGGTGTACACCGATAGTCCCAACTACTAAGGAGGCTGAGGGAGGAGGACCACTAGAATTCATTAATTCAGCACTAGGACTGGGCAACATAGCCATGTCCTGTCTCAAACTAACAAAAAGTTAGGTCTAATGATATATACTTGTAATCCTAAAACTGCAGAGGCTGAGGAAGGATGTGGTGGTTTTGAAGCCAGCCTGGAAGGGAGAAAAGAGTAAAGAAAGAGAAGAGAGAGGAGAAAATGGGGCTAGAGGGATGAGGGAGGAAGGGATGGAGGGAAAAGGGGAGGGAGGGAGGGAGGGATGGAGGGAGAGAGACAGAGAGAGAGAGAGAGAGAGAGAGAGAGAGAGAGAGAGGATTCCTAGCTAAATGCATACCATTTGATCTAAACTTGGAAGTTGAAGGACCCCAGCATTTTCTAAATAAAATTTGTACTTAATTTCTCTGGCGATATATAGCAAGAACATTTTTCCATATCTTGAGTTATTTCCAGTAAGCTACATTCTTGAGACTAAATTATGTGAAAATTAATCTTTCAGTCTACTTATAAAATGAGAAGGTTGAATTAGATTGTCATTATGGTTCTTTCCAACCCTAGTATTCTGATATTACGTTTTGTGTAATTCCTGTAATAAAATATGAATTCCTTGGAAGAAGACATAGTTCACAAGTTAACTGATATTAACATTTTTACTAAAGCAAGCCAGAAATTCATGTTTATAAACCAGATATTATTTGCTACAGTACAAAAAGCTGATAAAGTTTCTTAAAATCTATCCCAAAAATGGAACAAGGGATCAAATGGTTTCAAACTGTGATCCACTAAAAAAAATTGCAATGTTCTTAAATAAGTTCTCATCATAGAGCTATGAAAATCTTCACATTCATGGTTTGAAATCAATATAACCTCCATATTCAAACCTATATTTAGTTTTTTCACAGTTTAATAAATTTATACTGAATTTTAGTGGTTTTTACCCCATGCCCCTCACCCTCTCCTGCTGAAACTCTTCTTCCCAACAACTCAGCCTCCTATTTTTATGTTTTTAAATTTTGTTTTTAAAAATACCACTATAATTATAAAAATAAAAATAACATCACAGGGCTGGAGAGATGGCTCAGTGGTTAAGAATACTGACTGTTCTTGCAGAAGACCCGGGTTTGAATCCCAGCACCCACATGGAAGCTAACAACTGTCTGTAACTCCAGTTCTAGGGGATCTGACAGCCTCTTCTGTCCTCCATGGGCATTGCACGACACAGGTGCACCTACCTATATGCAGGCATAACACTCACACAGATAAAATAAAAATAATAAAATATTAAAAATAACACTACAAATAAAATTATTTCATAAACAAACATAACTTGAAATATAAAGTAACTCAGCAGTGAATTCAAAATATTGCAATAAGATTAAGCAAGTTTTATTCTAAATCTGAATGAAATAACTAATACATGTAAGAAATATAGTAGCATTATATTTCATTAATGTATTAAAGAACATATAAAAACCTATGTCAAAAGAAGCCAAAAACCTTGATAAAATTTTAGTCATTTCTATACAATATTACTTTTAAACTGATGAAATTCATTTAAATATGATTTCAAACATGCTAAATACCAAAAGAAACAGCATATGCCACTTTAAATGCTCATATGATTAAGCCATTGTCATTAAAACCAAGAAGAAATCATGAATTCTCACTGTTGCAATTATTAGTTAATAATGGTCTGAAGGTTTATAAAAATGCGGGAAGATAAAAAATAAAATGTTTCTATAGATATATTTCACATAGCACAGCATATGAAAGAACACGTGCACTCGGAAAACCATGGATGATTTAGTACCTAAAGCTACTAGAATTTGCAAGAGAATTTGAAAATATGAACTCAACTATTATGAGTTGTCAGTCCTTATTGGGGCAGCCCTTTGACATTTGAAGTAGCCATTAATTGAACAAGAAACTCAATCAATGATATAATCATATAGGCTCTCCAAACATTCATATGGGGGTAAGAGGAAGGAAAAATCTGATAAGCACAAGCTTTTCTGACTCATCATAAGCCTGAGCACATGTAATAAAGGGACATGAGACTGTCCAGTGCGAAGAAAGAGCTAGGGGTAAACTGCAAAAATGCCTCATTTTGATATACTGTTAAAGAACTACACAGAGCTCCATTAAAGTAGGGTTGAAGGCCCACTGGATGAAGTTGATTGAGGACAGTCACTTCAGATCTATTAAGGGACCACTAAAGTTTGCATATACAGGTATGTTCCATGGAAAATCTAGCTTAAAAACATTAAAATGTAAAAGCTAACTGGAGACATAAAAAGCCACACACAAGGTAGAAAACAGATTCTATAGATTCCTCCAGGCAAGCTACTAAATAAAGAAGCTAAAAAACAAGTATACAGAAAGAAATAACAAGAGTGAATCTCAAGGGTAAAAATAATCAGAATACAGAGTTGCCACTATGTATGCAGGCAAATATTTGTTCATAAAGGTCAATATTATTTACAATTCTTCAGTTATCAAAAATTTCTCAACCTTAGAACTATTGATATTTCGGGCTGTATAATTATTTATTGTGAAGGCGAAGGCTGTGGCTGTTTGGAAGCAGCCCAGGTATTTATGCATTCAGTAACAGTATCTGTCCCTAATTAGTCCCACTGTAAATGTCTTCAGACATTGCCAAATGTCCCTTGGAGTCCAAAATCATTGACAAATGAACATTACTGTTAGACAAAAAGTGAAAGGACACAGATTACCAAACAAGATAGAAAAGGAAACCCCATTATTGACATAACAGGAATGCAAATGATTATGGGTGAAATATGAACAAGTGGGTTGCCAAAACGATTGGCAACTTAGATAAAAAAGACAAAACTTTAGGAAGACACAAATTACAAAAAACATGTCTCAAATAATGGAAAGCTGAGCAGATCTGTAAGTAAAACCGCAAATCAGCAATTTACATTTTTCTTACTGAAAGAAAAATGTTACCACCACCGCTAGTTTTGCAGGTCTTCTTTTGGCATTAGTTCAATTCTACAATTCTTTAGCGTTGTGACTCAAAAGTAGTTCCAAGTGACTTGTCTCACCACAAGGGCAGGTTATATAAATGGGCAAAGAAAAGGAAATGAGACACAGAAAAAGGTACTAAGGTCGAGACAGCCTGATTGGTTGCAATTCAATTCTATCTTATTTATGATTTCAACAGTCACCTGCTTGTGATTGGCTGAGACTCAGCTACTGTTGTAAGAATAAGTTGCACTCTATTTGCATATCAAGTTATGTCATGGTGCAGTGACCAGAGTTCAAGCCTGAAAGGCTTAGGGACCCCGAGGGATAGGTGCAGGAGAAATCAGGATGCAGGGAATGTAGAGGTTTATGTGCCAGTGCGTATTTATTGTGAACTAAAGCAAGCTTATATAGAAAGCAAATTTGGAATAACCAAGGAATAACCAAGGATACATTACTTTACCAACAGAAAGTAACCAAGGAAAAACAAAGGATAAATTATGTTACCACGAAGAATACATTACTTCACCAACCGAAACTCACACGTTTACAGTATCCAAGATTCAGCTACATAATATTTATAATATCTTCGATATAAAGTGAACTGTTTGTGATTACACTTAGCAACTACTATAATTCATTATTTCTATATAGAAACCAAGTTAATGGTGCTGAGAAACTCCAGTTCCCATAAACTGAAACAGAAATCTTTAGTTATGTTTCCAAGACTGCCAATTAATCAGGGAAGCATAGCCTGTCAACTCAGACCACAGAAGCAGAGAGCAGGGAAAATCCCAGGGTGGAAGCATTCTTCCTCCAATTCTTGGTCTTCCAAGAATATCTGGTATCTTCTGCAAACTTCAGGTCATGAATTGATTAAGCCTTGAAAATTTCCCTTTATTATTTTTATCTAGATTTTCCTTTTGAAAATGAAGGGTAGATAAGAGACTCTCAGCACTTCTTTTCTGAGCATCTTGGTTCAGGCATTGGAAGGCACATCGACCTCCTAAAAACAACATGCAAAGAACAATTACCAAGGTTATTAAAGAGAATCCAGAACTATGTATTATACTCTGGATCCATCCTCGAGGATCGAGACCAGAAAGAGTATTTGCTAAAGTAGTAGCTATTTGATCAATAGAACTAAGCAGAAGGAATTTCTTCTGAAAATGCCTCATATATTTCTTCCTGTAATTGAATCTCATTAAAAGTTACATTATCTGTTTTGCCTTGAATATACAATTCTATATTATATACAATTCTATATTTTTCCATTCATATTCAGAACCATTATATTTATATGGAGTAATACAAAGTTGAGTAGAATTTCAATCACACACAAATTGTACAGTTTTCTGCAATTCCATTAACTTATTTCCCAACCAATGCAGTCCCCCTTGTAAAGCCACAATTTCTTCTTGTAATTGTGAATTAGTCTGAGCCTGATGTGTCCAAAGTTTACGAGAATTTTCATGCCAACGTTCAACAGTCTTGCGTTTGAACAGATTTCTGAAGTGCCACACCAGCGGCAGTAGCCATAGCAGCTAAAGCGATGAGTTCCAAAAACAGTAGCAATAATCAAGCCAATCAAACGTTTGCCTCGCTGAAACAGTCTTTTGAAAAATCTCAGAATTAGTCCCTGAATAGGACTGCTTTCCCAGGAATGATGAATTTTCACAGGAATCCATAAAGAATTTCATTGAGTTAAAATCATGACTGATTCAAAAGATTGATTAAAAGATATAGAGTTAT